CCCTTCAGGAGGCCGTTCTAGATCCGCCTATGCTCATAAAGAGTGAATATGGAAGGAGTTTTACCTTCTGATCAAGATCAGAGGCTATTTTAACTGTTACTGTTTATTGTTAGGTGTTCGATAACCACTAAACCTCAAAAACAACTTACCTTTCTTTTAATGCCTATAAATTTTCAACAAAGAAATCTTATGTGTATTTGGGCAAAATTTCAAGGAAATGTCACGTTTTTTGGAGAAAGTTCGCCCAGAAGCAAAGTTTTTTCAAGAAATTTTTTAAAAGCTTTCAGGAACTACTTATATGGGAAACTTACTTGCGACAAGTATCCGGGAGCTTTGGGATGGGTAATCGTCTGAGGCTTTTCTGGAAATAATATGTTGGCATATCACTTTTATGAACATACTGGTAATCATCGCCCGTTAATTTCTGATGACTGAAAAAATACAATGCAAGCATATTTGATGTTAAAATAAAAAGTATATCATAAAACTCTTTGCCAGTTTTCATTATATTATGATAATTTATAGTAGCTGATCTGAGTAAAAGTAAAATTATAATAATTGAACTAATGATTTATGGTAATAGGAAGTAATGAATTTTATAAGAAATACAAAAGAAGCACTGAATTGCAATGTTTCGGTCCATTAAGTTGCATACATTCCAAACCAGTAGTAACGCAACTGGACCTCGTCAGTACGACAACTGACAAATTCCACATCGAAAACAAGATTTTTCAAGAGTACGGGGGAAGAAGGAGAAAATTTTTTAAAAAGGCTGTACGGGGAAGGGGGCAAAACGGAAGTGAACAGCCGGAATGGGAAGGGGCGGGGGGTTGAGGAATTCCGTTGGAAAAATTCGGAAAAACATACATGGCGGTGGAAAATTTGCGTGAATGACGTATGAGCAATCGTGGTTTGGACATCTGCATAGTATCGAAACTTTGTAAAATTGAAAACACCCTCTTCCCCGGGGCTCTTTTCAGTCCATCACAGTGTTTGCCCACACGACACGAACGTGTTCTTTGTACCCATTGGACCGGAAGCAACTACTGAAAACACGGCTCGGCTCTTTGGAGAGGAACTGCCAAAATTCGGCTCGGCTCGGCTCGGCCCCGGCAGATTTGAAAGCGGGTAGCAATGACCGGGGGGCGAGAGAGGGGAGGAGGATGGAGTTGCAAAGGGACAAAAACGGAGCTGAGCCGGGCTGGAGGAGGGGG